TTTTTGAAATTAATTAAATAAATGGAAAGGCAAAAAATAGAGACAACACAAATATGGGTAATAATAAAGTAGACTTCAAACAAACAAGTAAAGATGAAAAATAGTGTAGAAAGTCAAAAAATATTTTTTACAAAATTTGTGTTAGAAAGTTTACAAAAGAAGAGTGATACTATCAAAAATTAAATTACCAATTTGAAACCTAGATGTTTATTAAGAAATATCAAACTACAGTAACGTAATTTAAAAAATTCAAAATTAAGAAGAAGAAAATAATGCACAAACGCGAAAAATATTATTGTACAAAATTTGGTTAGAGTGTATACAGCAGAGACACGCGCGGGGGGCCTGGTGGCGCCGTGGCAAAGGCCGGATTCCAGAAAACCGTAATTGCTTTAAAATTAAAAAGCAAAATTGAAAGGCAAAATATGTAGTTCAAAACTTTTTAATATATTAAAAAAAGTCTTTTTGTTCATACTGATTATTATTTCTTTTACATTTTTTTTATAATAAAGTGTGATTTACTTTATTTTATATTTTTCTTGCGTTTAGTATTAAATTTTCAAAAAAAATTAATTAAATAAATGGAAAGGCAAAAAATAGAGAAAACACAAATATGGGTAATAATAAAGTATACTTCAAACAAACAAGTAAAGATGAAAAATAGTGTAGAAACTCAAAAAATATATATTTTTTACAAAATTTGTGTTAGAAAGGTTACAAAAGAGGAGTGATACTTTCAAAAATTAGTTTTTATTTATTAAGAAATAAATTTATAAAGAAATAAATCAAACTACAGTAATGTAATTTAAAAAATGCAAAATTGAGCAAAATGAACGAAAATTTGAGAAAAAAACATAATAAGAATGTAACAAAACATAAACCAAGCATAAAAAATTCGTATTTAAAACATGAGTTAAAAAAAATGAAACGCAAACAGAAAAATTACTTTATTTGTTTGTTCTTGGTTTACTTTAACTAAACACAGATAAGGATAATGTAAAAAAAATAAGGTAGTAAAGTAGGGCCAAAAAATACATTTATTATAATCAATTGGGCAATTTCTTTCATACATTCTAAAAAACTTGGGTGAAATTAAGCTAAAAATTACAAGAGTATTTCTTGTTGTTTTCCTTTATTTTACATTTTTCTTGTGTTTACTCTTACTAGTGTTTATTGTTTACTTATTAAATTTTCAAAAAATTGGATCTGTTTCGTGGCATTTTGGGCAACAAAGCAATTAAATAGCAAAACTTTTTAAAAACGTGTTAAAAAGAGTTATTTAAATATCAATTGAGTTCATTCAATTGCAATTTGAACTATCAAGGAGTTTGTTTAGTCAATTCCAGTTTATTTCATTTATTTTATTCCTGAAACAATAAANTTACTCTTACTAGTGTTTATTGTTTACTTATTAAATTTTCAAAAAATTGGATCTGTTTCGTTGCATTTTCGGCAACAAAGCAATTAAATAGCAAAACTTTTTAAAAAGGTGTTAAAAAGAGTTATTTAAATATCAATTGAGTTCATTCAATTGCAATTTGAACTATCAAGGAGTTTGTTTAGTCAAAAAATACTCAAAAAATTCAGTTCATTCAATTCCAGTTTATTTCATTTATTTTATTCCTGGAACAATAAAGTACTAGTTTATCCCTGTTCAGCGAAAATATATTTATTGAAGTCGATTTTACACGATTTTTTCTATGAATTCTAGAAAATTTTAAATTATACTAAAAAAAGTCGTTTTCCAATTTTTTTATACTTGTAATGTAGTTGTTTTACTTTATTTTACACTTTCCTTGTGTTTACTATTAAGTTTTGAGTCAATTGRGTTTGTTTGTTTTATTTTGGCCAACAAAGTAATTAAATCACAAAATATTATCTTTAAATATTTAAAAAACGTATCAAAAAATAATAAAATTTTGCCTAAACCAGAAAAAATAGGTTTGTACTTACATTCAAGAGTGTGACACTAAATCATTGGGAATTTACCGATGAGAAAATAAATAAAGATTAATATATTGTGTACTTAAAAGAAGGGGAGATTAGATAAAATATATCTACTTTAAAATAAAAAAATTATAAGTTTAAAACAGCGCCAAGATTTTGGTTTTTCAAGTTTCTATATTATCCTAAACGGAGAGAAATAAGAGAAAATAATCCGATTTTCGTGACAAAAAAACAATTTTTTTTTCTTTATCTTTTATATATTGACACTAAACTTGGACAAGTCGACGTAATTATGCAAATTAAAAAAAAAATTGTGTTAATAACCTTTGATTACAATTTTTTTTATTATGAATGTGTAAAACTGTACATTTATAATAAAATCAAAAATTAGAAATGTTCCAATTTAGTTGCTGATTTCTTAATTAGACATTAATGATTTATTTAAGTTTGTCATGAAATAAAAAGCAACCAAAACGAAAAAAATTCGATAACAAACGGTAGTGAATTATTTGGAAGTCGTAAAGTGAAATGTGTAAAGTCTAATTATTGCATTTTTTCATGTGCTATTCGTGTTTTTAACAAATTGTGTGTGTAATATTAGCGAAACTCCCTATTGAAACAAAAAACATTTAATTTGTGTAAAAAGTTGCAAAAATATGCTTTGATTTGAGTTAAATATTCACAAACTAAATATATGTTACAAAGTGGAAAAAAAGAACTATAAATTTTTTTAATTAATTTAGTTTTATCATTGTAAACCAGAAACATGACTTTTTTGTTTCAATAAAATTTACATTTTGAATTTCGCATTGATTTTTTTGCTCTTCATTTTTTTTGGCTTATTATTTTAAGAATGTTTTATTTTCTCTGTTTATTTTGTTCGATTTAGTTTATTTTTCATTGGAAATCAATGGAAATTTATTAAAGAAAGAATTGTGATAAAAAAATTATGATAAAAAATTGAAAGAAAAACAAGAAATTTTTATGAAAAATCGTAGAATCGACATATGTTATAAAAAATTTGTATTAATACGCAAAATCGGTGTTTTTGCTTTTACTTCTTTGATTTATTTCGTTCGATTTAGTACACTTTTCAAACGGTTTTGTTTATGTACTTTTTTGTCACTAAGAATTTTTTGATTATTTATAATTAAATTTGGTTTTATCAAACCGGAAATAGATATCTTTTGGCACTACTCACAAATAAATCCATGAAAAAACGTGATTTCTTTCTTAGTTTTTTGTTTCAATATATTTTCTTTTCACTTTTTTTTTATATTTTGCTTCATGTAAGAAATTTTCTTAAATCGATCCAAAAACACACTTTTTCCGGTTTTTTGTTTGAATTAAATATTTTTTAATATGAATTGATTTAATTAAAGAAAAAATTGTTTAATTAATGTAGAAAATTGCGAAAAAATGGTCTGAAATGAGTTATTTTGTTTTGTTTTATTCACTCTGGCTTTTTTAGAGTTGGGTTTATTTTGTTGAATAAATGACACAAATCGCAAAATCGATTAATTTCTTTTCTAAAAACTTTGATTATTTTACAAGATTTTATTATATCGAGACAAAAAACCTTAAAAACAGGTTCCGAATTATTTTATTGGATTTGGAATCGAGTTTATTAAAAATTTTGAACAAACTATACAAAAAGTTGACTTGTTTTTTTCTATTTTTTTCTAAATTGTCATGTAAATTTGTCATTAAATATAAAGCAACTAAAACGATGAAAATTTGATAGTGAATCGTAAAGTGTTGTTTAAGAATCAAGTGCTCCAATAAAAGAAAGAAAAAAAATTGTGGTATATTAACTTTTTTACTGAGTCAGATAAAAAACTAGAATAAAATAAAGAATAAACAACATTATTACGAGGAAAAAAAATGTAAAATCAAGCAATTTAGCCGATTTTATTCACTGTGGATAATTTTTTCTTTTACAATTAATTTTTTCTTTACTTTACTCAACTTCTTTCTCGTTCGTTGAAAATGTGAACCTATAGCCTCGTGTTCGCTCATATTTTAGCACAACGAACTCAATTGTTTGAAAACAGAAACGTGATGAATAAAAGTGGCCCGAATACGGCTGCTTGCGGTACACCACAAGTCAAACTCCGTTTAATAACACATGTTTTGTATCGCTTTAAATTTTTTCTTCGTTCATTGAGCTCCTCTCAAATTTTTTTTTTATTTCATTGTTAAGGAATCTATTATTAGGAGAGGTTAATGATTTTGTTCTAAATTATTCATAAATCCAGCAGTGCCAACAAGCATGCAATAATAAAACGCAATTAGCCTCTTTCCATCGCTTCATGTGTGTCAGACGGGCGGAGGCTCTGCCCCCGGGGCTTGACCCTGCGGAACAAGGCTAACCGTTCCGCAAAAATAAAACTGTGATGATGATTCGTTCACACTCGAAACGTTGCAGACCCATTTTTCGTCAATCGAAATTATAGCTACATTCCGAACTAAGTGGGCTATGAATTCCACACACCTAACATTCCAGATGTGAACAAGTTCATCGACAATTAAACAACTTTTCTTCTTATGTCTGATGTAATTTATGATGTCGATCGAGATGAATAAAATTTTGGGATTTTTCTTCTTTTATAACCCGGAATATGAGTCCGGGCGCGAGTACCGTTGCTTATAGCCCGGAGCTAGCGATGAAAACCCAAATTATAAGTAGCCTGTTTTAAAAAAGCAGTGGCGGAGATGGAAATCGGGCCGAGTAATACACCGTGACCTATTTCGTTTTTGTTGTTTGTAAACAAACAACAAACAGGTTGATGAACTTTTCAACGCAATTTTTATTTAATAAATTAAGACTAGCGATTAATTTGCATAATTCAACTCTTGGTTATGGCATGTCATAACTTGAGCACAGTTAGTGCAATTGTATTACATATTATAAATGCCATAAAGTTTTTA